CGGAGCGTGCGCCGAGGGAGCCGAGGCCAAATTTAAAAAAATCGCAAAACGGTTCCAGAGCACTCCAGATCCCGAGAAAAAAGTAGTTTAGGATCAGCGAGGGGTCACCGGTTCACAAGTGTGAGGCATACCCGTTGCTGGCGAGCGTGCGGAGCTAGGCGGAGCCAGTCTTAAAAGTTCCTAAAGCAGTTCCAGAACAAACAGACACTCCAGACCTCCTCTGTAATACGGCCCGGCCTTGCGGGGCATACTCGACTAATACCCGCCTTCTCTCATCTGTCCACTTGATCAACGCTCCTTACCACCATTCCATACACCGTAATAGTGTTGAAAATAGCAGGTATGATGCTATGGTCAAAAATGTTGACCATCTGTTCAGATAAAAGAAAAGCCGGATACTAGGTGGGTATTGAAATGTGTGGAAGAAGGTAAGCGCGGCGGAGCCGCGCCCATTCGGCGAAGCCGTGCCGTATCTCGGAAGAAAGCGCGCCGGCGTCAGCCGGCGAACCGACCGGCACTAATAATTGTCCTCATCAACACATATCGTTTGGTGTTCTAGCAACAGAAAGGCATGGGCTGGAAGCTGCTTACCTCGTCAAACTGTTGTTGAAGCAAACTGTTGTGGGAAGACGACCTCAACAGCGACGGCAGCAATCGCATCAGATTTCTTTTGCCAGCTATAAACACAAATACAAGATACGTAGAAAGGCATCATATTTCACGATTCATAGCCAGTAAATGCAGACTAGTTGAACAGTGTAGCGCTCAACAGTATTCGGCGGAACGGTTCTGTTCACTTCCTATTTCTTGCCCAACTAATTCGTTTTAGAATGTGACATTTTTTTATACTTCAATGACGCGAGCAAACTTCACCATTTGTTTTTAAAGATTATCCGAAGAATTACTAGCCGGCACCTTCCGCGCTGTGCTACGTACCGACGCTACCGTATTCACAGCTGCGACATTTTACGTGCAAAATGAGTAGGAAAATGAAAAAATGTCAAAAAAAATCAGCCTCAGTTAAGAAGATCCTACCTTCATCTGCGTTGTTAACGGCCGCAACATAAGACTTGCTTAACTGGCTGAATATCCTGAAAACAAAATAATAACTGAAGATATTGATGGGAAAGGGTTTCCTTCGAAATTCTCCCACTGAATTCCCTCACAGCGGATAGAAAGATAATATGCAAGGCGGATCTGAAAGTCAGGTAGATGACACAGTTAAGTCACGGTAAATTCTTCTCGTCAAGACGGCAGAGTTACAGAATCTCGAAAGGTGATACTGAGACTAGAGCAACTGCTGTTGGGGAAAATTTATGTAAGATATGACCCCATTCGAGGTTTTCCCCGTTGTAGGACCTCCCCATTCAACGTCCTACTTGCCAAGTTCCTGAACTTTCCTACGTGTGCCTACTTTTCGAAACTTTCGGAGCTTTCTCCAGG